GTGCAGGCCCAGGACGTGGCCGCCGTTCTCCTGCTTCTGGCCCATGCGCGGCACGGTCCGCTCGATACCAGCGTAGAGGACCCGCAGCTTCGTTCTCCACTTCACCTGGCAGCCGAGCTCGCCCACGTCGTCATCACGCAGCTGCTGCTGTGGGTACGTGAGAGGGGAGCGGGTAAAGGGGTTTTGGAGGGCTCTGTCTCGGGAACAGCCAGGCAGGGGGAGCCTGGTACTCTCAAAGGGCCCCTGGAGTGAGCCTGGAAATCCTAGGGAGTGGCATGCATGTGCCCCCACCCCCCGGGGGCTGCGCGGTAACGCGGCCGCTTCCACCCCACAGTACGGAGCCGACGTGGCCGCGCGGGACTCGCAGGGCCGCACCGCGCTGTTTTACGCCCGCCAGGCTGGAAGCCAGCTGTGCGCCGACATCCTGCTTCAGCACGGCTGCCCGGGAGAGGGCGGCAGCACAGCCACCACCCCCAGCGCGGCCACCACTCCCAGCATTACCGCCACGCCCAGCCCCCGCCGCCGGAGCAGCGCTGCCAGCATGGGTCGCGCCGACGCCCCAGTCGCGCTGGTATAGTTGCCCTGCGGGAGAGACGCCCCCACTCCACGGGCCGGGCACGACCGCACCAGGTGGACCGCTGGACAGATGCACCCACTCACCTCCAATCCGCACCCCACCCCGTGAGAGCACTTCTTCCCCCCACGAGGGCACAGCCCCCACGCCTCCCAGGAGACACAAACTCACCTCCCTCTCCCCAGCAAGGCATGGAGACCCCAGCTCAATACGCCCCCTCGCCACTGTTTTCACGCTGGGATTGCTCTGGGTCTAGCCACTTGGTGTTTCAAGAAGGGGACCCCGCGCTTATCTGCTCCTGGGTCAACTCTGCCCACTAGCGCCCCCTAAGTGCTGGGCAGGGGAGATCCAGTCCTGCCTGTGCTTGACAATCGCTGGGCAGGAGCACCTACCCAGGCTGGCTCCTGGGGGCGACGCCAAGCCAGAGGGAGGGCTTAACACGTGGGCGGGCTAGCCCCGGGACTTGGGACCAATAAGGGGACCTGACCCTTTCATGCTAATCTCACTGCCCAATGAAGGGGGAAGGGCAGCGAGGGGCAGGACCCCTGCTGCCCAAGAGGGGTAGGGGGGTCCCCAACCCTTTCTGTGAAAGGGACCATGAGGAGTGGATATCAAGACATCCCCCCAAACCCACCCATGGATGGAAGCTAAAGGGCTGGGGGAGCCAAGAGCCTGGGTCCCTCCTCACTACTATCTTAGGAGGGAGAAGGGATGGAGTAGGAGCCGACTAAGGGGGCTGGGGAGGGGCCTTGTAATTTATTGCTTTGTTCCCCAACAATGGGGCAGGGGCGGGCAGGGGCTTGGGAGGGTGTTTCAGGGTAGGGGAAGCCAAGGGTGGGAAGAGGGTGGGGTGGGGTGGGGGTGCTCTTGGGTTGTGTCTGTGACTGTGACTGCGTAACTGTGACTGTGCAGCGCCCGTGGTGATCTGGGGTAGGGGGCACCCCTACAGTGGGACCCCTCCCCCACTAGTTTTCCTATCCAGCCCCTCCCTCCCACTGGAGAAGCTCCAGACCCATCCCTCAACCCCGTGGCCCCTCCCAGCCAGGGTAAGAGGATGGGAGGTGGCTGGGAGGGTTCCCAGGCCCCCTGTCCCACCCCCAGAGAGGGGGTGGTGGAGTGGGCTCACCTGGCCCAGCCCTGCCTCCCCCAATCAACCCAGCCTTTGGGTCGTCTGTGTCAGTGGTTTCCGGTCTTTTTTTTTTTTTTCTGGCTAAAATATTTTGTAAAGGACCAGGTAATTGAAGAGGGGAGGGGGCAGGGGGGAATGGCCCCAGCTCCTCTAAGACAGGTGGTGTGAATCTTCTTTAACAGCAATTAAAGAGGAAGTGATTTTGTCTAGGGGGTGAGTTGCTGATCTGTTTTTGAAGAGGTGGTCAGGGAATGGCCTCGGTCAAGGTGGGGAACTGGAAGTGGGAAAGGGCCACCACCAGAGTGTGTGTCCTGCTGTGGCTGGTGGCAGGGTATTCAGGGTGTCCAAGGGCACTGAGATGATACTCCACTGTGTACAGCGGCTCTGGGTGCATGTGGTAGGAGGAGACAGGCAGAGAGTAATGGTGGGGCTCCAAGGAGCAGAGGAGTCCCAGACTCCCAAGATGACCCCGTTTCTGGGGGGGAGTTAGGGTGTGATGTTTAGAGGAGAGGATGGGGAGAGGGGCTGCTTGGAGAAGTGAGAAGATGGGATGGTTTGGGTTAAGAGCAGGAACTTCGGAGTCAGATCTGATTTTGAGCAGGCCATCCACTTCATAGCCGTGTTGCCTTGGGCAGGATACCTGGGTGGTATCTGTTGGGCGCCTGGAAAAGGGTTCCAGAGCCAACCCCCAGAAGACTGCCCCAGGTTAGCCTGCTCACCTTGGGCCCCTGATCTGGTACCAGTGGTAGAGCTTATTACAGTAAGGGTCCTTTTCTTGGCCAAGGAGGGAGAGGTGTAAGATCTCCTGGCCTCAGAGGTCCTTGATGACCATGAACTCCATGCCCAGCCAATGCAGATATTGGTCCACTTCCATGTCATCCACAGGGCCACTGAGGCAACAGCATCCTGTGGCCAGTGCTGCCTCCAACAGCTGCAGCACCTCCTGCTTCAGCCATAGCCAGTCCTGCTGTTCATTCCTCAGGTGCAGCCAAAAGCATTTGCCCTGAGAGAGGACTGGGTGGGGTGGTACTGGGTGGTGGCCAGTGCACAATGGACACACAGCCACCCACGTGTTGTCATCCACCTTGAGGAGCCAGTCAATGGCCCGTTGTCTTCAGTAGAGTGGGTGCCAGCCCTCAGTCCCCCAATGGACATTCAGCTGCAGGTGAGCCACCAAACTAACTAGGAGTGGCTGCAGCAATGGGCCCAGGTCTCATTCCCATGGAGGCCCTGGTTCTGCATGATCCCACACTGGGGCACCAACCAGCAGAGCAGCCTACCCGAAGAAAAGGTGGACTCAGGGGTGCAGTGCAGCAACAGATGCAGATGTCGGTGTGTGGTCTGGGAAGGTGCAGGGAGAAGAAGAGGGGCAGTGGCAAAGAAGACTTAACTAGAAGACCTGGCCATTCCCCCTTGCAGCTTGGAGACCCTGGATTCCCCCACTTCACCTCTTTTCCTTCTTGACAGCCAAAGCTTATTTTCTTCCCAAGAAGACAGAGAGACAGTATGGGGATGAGACAGTGATCCTGGAGAGAATGGAATTAGCACAGGGAACCACAGGCCAGGGGAAAGTCCACAGGTCAGTGAAAGGCAGGGTATCGGCAACCCCCATAGCCAGTCCCAACAATGAGTAATCCAGAGAAGGGAAAGAAAAGTAATCCAGAAAAGAGAAAGGATTCTCTTTTTCATGGGCTGCATCTTTGGCCTGGTTGGAGGTGTAAAGCACAGTAGTGGATAGGTAAAACATCAAGCCCTCCAGGAGGTGGCAGAATAGGGCTCTAGAAGGGAACCCCCTGTAGGGCTGAAGGAGAGCCGCTGCCTTCCCAGCTTGCCTTGGGTGTCCTTACCTAGATTCCTGCTGTTATCTACCCTCCCCCTCCCCACTCCACCTGGCTGCCATCTGCCACAAGCCCTGCTCCCCTCCTTTTGTTTCCTTAGCACATCTGGGGCAGACCACCCTCCTCCATGGGATTTTCACCAAAAGCCAAAGGAAAGTAAAAAGGAATTTATTGTTAGAAGTGCTGCACACCTGACTAAATCTGGGGAGGATCCCAGAACTGTTTTCTGATGGGACTCCATCCGCTCACAGACATCCTTCCTCTTCCAGCTTCTCCCTCCCCTCCCATTCTACAAGATTCGATTGTAGCTTCTGATCTGCTTTTGGGGTTCCGTCTCAGCTTCTTGCCCCCAAGTACCACCTAAGTCTCCTCAGAGCGCCTCTGTACTTCCTGCAGGCCAGGGCCTGGGCTAACAGCATATCATGTGCTGTCTCACTTGATTCTCCAACCACCCTATGAGGCCAGCATAATTACCCATAATTTACCCAGGAGGAAACGGCACTTGAAAAATTAAATATCTTGTTCAAGGCTCCACTGATTGTAAGAGGGGTGAGGATTTGAACCCAGAATTCTGACTACAGCTGCCCGTGAAGCCATGTCTCAGATCTTGCACAGGTGAAGCATCCCTCTCTTCAAAATATACAAGCGGATCTGGGTAAGCAGGGTTTTATACATCTACCCATTACACTTCTAAATAAAGCAACTTAAGCATCACGTGCACAAAAAGTAGAGTCGGCAAGAGGATCAGTTCCACACAACCCACTTCCACGACAATGAATCTCATTGTCCACCACTGCAGACCTGGGGGTGCCATTCCCTCTAGCTGTTTTCTTACCTCGTGAGTCATGGAGAGTCTTCAGCAGGAAGGCTATCACTCAGAGATAGGGAGAAAGATGAGAAAGGAGGGGCTGGGGGTATCCACATCTGCACTTGGCAATGAAGAAGAGATGGAGACACCTCCCCAGGCCCACTTGCCCTTGGCATACAGGAAGCTAGCGTGTGTGGGCTAGCCAAAGGCAGAAGCCTTTTCTGGGAGATGTTGAGTGGCGTGGCCAGATGGGGATGGGGTGTGGCTGGCACACGGGACCTGCAGCATGCTGCAGGGGGAGAGCTCAGTGGAAGGGGGTGGCCGTGGTGAGCTAATGTTGTGGTGTGCATTTTGGCTTTCAGGATAGAAATGGGGAGAAGAGAAGGAACAGAAGTGGACAGATGAGGAAAAGGAGGGACAACAGGACTGTAGGTGTTTCAGTCCTTGCCAGGCCGGGGGGCTGGCTTGCTTATCTGCCCTGGTCTCATCCCGGAACCCAGGCTCCCACTGACACCACCCGGGAGGAGTGGAGCGCAGCACGGGATGAGACCCTGCGCTCCACCCTAAAGACAGCACCAAACCTCCTCCCTACTTGAGCCCCCACCCCACCTACCCCCACCCTAAGCCCCCTCAAAAGAAAAAAAAGATTGATGGAGTGATGGTCCAGTTCTTTATTTAGAAACCTGATTGTTCGAGAACATGAGTGGCGGGTCTGTGCCCTGCCCTTTTCACTGGATTGTTTCAGAGGTGGTGGGCAACTTCCTCCCATTTCCTCAGCAACCGAGGAAGGCGCCTCAGCAGCTGAGGAAGGCGCCTCAACTCAGAAGCAGACTGTGGGGAACAGTGTGGCAAGGAAAGGGAGCAGGAAATCCCGAGCTAATCCAAGAGCAGGGGGTAGGTGATTCCCAACAGCAGCAGGGGCAGGGGCCTGTCTCCCAGGGCCTGCTACAAAGCACACCCTTCTCACTCCCTTGCTCTGCTCTGCTCTGCTCTGAAGATCTCTAGGGAGGGAGGGAGGGAGCAGGGAACAAGTTAGGGGACATGACAGGGAGCCGGTGCAGGGACAAGCCTGGGAGGACAAAACTCACAGGTCTTGGGTGGTCTTCCAGGCAGCTCGCAGCAGTAGCAGCAGCGCTACCCCACAGCCTCTCCACACCCCTGGCTGGGGCCCCAAAAGTCCACAGCTCACCCTACTCCCAAGTTTTGCCTTCAGAGTCCCAGGGGGTGGGAGACGGATGGGGAGGCAACGAGGCCAGTCTAGGAAGACTCTGGACTCCTTGCAAACTGATGGCAGTAGCGGGCTCAGAAGTCAAACTCGTCCAGGTCTCCTGTGCCCTCCCCGCCTCCAGAGCCCCACACCCGGCGGTAATTGCTCTCCAGCTCTTTTTGTCGCTGCCGCTCCTTCTGTGCCTCTTCAGCTCCCTGCACCTGGTGAGGGGTGCAAGGGGTGAGCTGGAGTGCTGGCTGGTGAGCCCAGGGAAGCACTGAGCACTGGAGGACTCAGGAGCCAGCCGCGTGGAAAAGGAAGGGACGGGGCACACACACTTCATTCAGGGCTCTTGCCGAGGACCTCAGCAGCCAGGACCACCAGGCTCTCTTACAGATGAGGAAACCGAAGCCCAGAACCTGGCAAGGCTGGGATGTGGCCGCGTCACCCAACCATGCTCTCAACAACACAGCGCACTGGAGGGGGGCAGCCTGGAGATCCCAGACTTGGGGGTGGGAGCCTCTCACCAAGATATTGAAGAAAATCTCCTTAAGGTTTTTCGTGTCCTCATCTGTCAGCCACCGCGCATCCTCCTCGGTCCCTTCAGCCCCTGGTCGGACAATTTTGATCTCGATTTTTCCTGGACAGATGCGAGATGGGCAGTGAGAGGAAGCGGGGTGGGGGGTGGGAGCTTCAGTGCAGGTCTTCTGCCCCCCCAGGTCCCCAGCCGAGGTTCCAGTCCTCCTCGACCCAGCCCCTCCGCTTCCGGCAGCAAGCCCTTCCAACAGCTCTGAATCCAGCCCCGCCCCCAGGGCCCACCTTCGGCTGTGAGTCCCTCCCTCTCCAGCAGCTCTTTCACCAGCCCCTCGATTTGTTTCAGCTGCGGGTTTTCCCGTTTCATCTCGAGGACTGTCAGATCCTGATTGGGGCCTCCGTGACGGAGCTTGGTGACCCGGACCCGGACTCTGTGCTCAGGATCCTCCTCTTAGAGGGGGAGACACACAGGGAGACACAAAGCAGAGCAGTGACTCCAGGGTTAGGGGCTGCAGTGGTCACTTCTCCCTACGCCATCAATCGGCTTTGGAGTTATTCCACCTCAAACTCGTACACGAGTCAGAGCCCCAAATAAGTTAGTTCCCCCTACCCCGTTCCAGCCTATAAAGTTCCCCCCACCGACTGCAGCCTCCCTTCTCCCCTCTGGACCCAATAGTTCTGCCTATCACCTGCAGGAAAACAACTGTTTCCTGAAACAAAAATCAGGCTGCCTGGGCCTACAAAGAAGTTTTGTATTAAGAAGCAGGGGTACGCTCTCGCTCTCACTCTCACTCTCGGAGCACGCCCAGGAGTACGCCCAAACCTTTCTGCTGCCCCCCCCCTCCCCCGCAAGCGTTACTTTTGTCTTTCTCTCTTCTAAGCTCCAAGGGCCCTTTTTTGCTTCTGTAACTTGTTTTCTGAGCCTATGCAGCCCAGCTGGCTCCCTTCTACTGCCTCTGTAACTTTCTAAATAAACTTATTCTTATAATTTGAAAAAAAAACAAAAAGAAGCAGGTAGGAAAGCTGTGGTTTGGCACACCCCATGTTGGTGCTCAAAAGCCTCATCCATGTTTACAGAGAAAGTAGGTTGGAGGGTCCGACGTGTGAACATCCACTCGGAATTGTCTGACCTCCACACGCACAGAGCCCCATGGAAGGGACACGGGGGAGCTAGAAGAAGGTATGACTTCCAGTCTGTCCAGGCAATTGACTTCTGAGCAGCTGGCTGCCTGTTCACACTTTGCCAGCTGGGGCTGCTCCCGGGCATCCCGCACAGATGTGCAGTCTGCACTGCGCAGGCTCCCAGCCACTCAGTTAAGATCCACTGATTGCCCACTGTGTGCGGGTCAAAGTACTAAGCACTAGGCACACGGGAGCCAGTCAGAAAACAAGGCAGACGTGCTCCAGAAGCCACTTCCCAAAGGATGAATAGGAGGTAACCGGGCAAAGGGATGGAGGTGGTGAGAAGGCGAGAGTGAGCGCAGTGCTCCAGAGAGGGAAGCGGGCGTTCACCCTCAGAGGGGAAAGAACATGTGGCCCTCCTGCGCACACACGAGCTGAGTGGTAAAGCCACGGGATCCAGCTTCCCAGGTGACAGCTCTCACCTGCCGGTCTGAGGGAGGGGGGCGGCTTTCTGGGGACAACCCTCCTTCTCCTGTGCTTCTTCACCAGCTCTGGACTCTGCTTTTCCTCCAGCCTTTTGATGAGTTTGTTGAGAGTGGATGTCAGGGCCAGCATAGCTCGATCACGCTCCGACTCCTTCTTCAGCTCATCTGGGTCCAGCTCCTTCTCTGTCTGGAATGCCCAAGGCAGGGGTGGAAAGTCAAGGTGCAATGAAGGTCAGTGGTCCATGCTCTACAGGAGAGTCATGTCTAAGGCTCATTCTTCTCTGATTCCCCTTTCCCCACCGTCTCCCCTTTTAATTAAATAAACAACTACCATTTCGGAGAGCCCTGTCCCAGGCCCCATGCTGTGCTAGGTGCTGACCTTTGTTCTCTGTCAGCCCCTCGGCCTGCCTCGCCCACGGGGCAGACCCTGCAGAAGCAACCGGAGGGGAGAGCTGTGCTCACCTCTTGGATGATGTTCTCCAGCTCTCGCTCCATGCCAGCCTTCACCTCTGAACGCAGCCGCTCCCGGTCTGATGGGAGCAGTATCCCTTCCAATTCCTTCTCAAATTCTCCCAGTAACTGCCTTTCATCCTCATCTTCATCTTCATCCTCATCGTCCTCTTCTTCTTCCACCTCCTGCTGATGTTCCGTGTCACCCTTTGCCTTCACCTCTGGTTCGCTTGGAGGGGCTTCTGCAGCACCATCTGCGGACTGCTCTTGGCCTGCATTTGGCTTCCCCTGGGTGGGTGGGGATCCAAAGAAAAACAGGAGATGGTTGGGGTTTCAGCAGAGGCACATGGTGGAGGGTGGACAAAGGCAGAGTGGCTGGGATGTGGCAGGGGGGCACCCAAGAAGAGTAAAGGCAGGCAGGCAGTGCCATGGGGCCCAGCTCAGGCCCAGGTCGGGGTGATTCTCCAAAGGCTTGCAGCGGGCAGGTGGGTTCTACCCCTCCACTGAGCAGGGCCCGTACCTTTTTCGTTCCACCTTTCAGCTCCTCTATCAATCGAATCAAGTCTGCAGGACTCCGAATGACTTTGACCTGCACATTGCTCTGAAAATCTGAGATGGAAAAACAGGAATAAGCCCATTGTGTCCTAAATTCTACTTTGACTCTCTGAGGACAGGAGTTGAGGAGACCGAGGAAGGACACGGTCCTTGTCCCCAGGAGCTATCTTCTGGTCAGAGAGGTGGGGCCACCAGAGCCCTTCAGAAAGCACTGGGCTGAGGTGGACTCGGGTGACAGAGAGAAGGGTGCTTACAAGCTGCTAAGGCCCCTGCTCTTTGACGCACTGCTGAGGCCCTTCGGGCAATCACCCCAGATTTTAGGGCTCTGGAAGAGATGCTAGGGCCAGGTGCTCCTCTCCCTGGATCCTGTTCTCCACTTACTGTCTACTCAGTTACAGACATTCTGCTGTGAACTACAGATTCTCCTCATTTATTCTCACAGCAACCCTCTAACGCAGGGGTGATAGCCCACATGTTATGGGTGAGGACACTGAGTTTGTTAAGTGAAATCACCCAAGACTACAAAGTCAGCAAGTAGAGGAGCCACTGTGTCTGCTGCCTCTGTTGAAGAGAATTGTCTACAAAGAGTACTAACTCCTATAAAAATGAATTCCCTGCTAGCCTGCCCACCCAGCTTCCCTCCTCATGTTTCTCTCTACCCCCAGCCCCACCCGTCCAGAAATACCCTCAAGCAGGAAAGGAGACATGGAGGGTTCACTCACCATCGGGAGAGCCTGGAGCTGGATCTGCTGGCTCGAGGTTTGGTTCCTGCTCCTGATGAGAAGAAGGCAGAGTCAAGCATGCAAGCTTGGTTATGCCGACCACATTCTTAAGGCACTGGTGCTGGGTACGTCCTCGCATCCCGAGACAGATGCGGGCCATCTCACAATGATCTCAGCTTGAGTGGCCTCTGTCCCAACGTCCAGGTCAGCCTCATCAGAGAAGTAGCTAGGAGGCTGCTCTCACCTCAGCCCGTGCCTCTTCCCTTCCTTGGACCTGGTCCTCTGGCTCATGAATCATCTTCCAGAAATCTGGTTCCTTACTGTCGTCCTTGGCTGGGCTTGCAGCTGGAACGCAGAGAACAGGGAGGAATCAGAAAGGAGGGGAGCAATGGAAGGGAACCAATAGAATGAGGACATTCCCCCCCTCTATTACCAAGGCAAAGAGCCCATAGTACTTTTTTGGTTTTATTTTATGACTTTTAAAAGATTTTATTTACTTATTACTAGAGAGAGGAGAAGGTAGGGAGAGAGGGAGAGAAACATCAATGTGTGCCTACTCCGACCTGGGGACCTGGCCCGCAACCCAGGCATATGCCCTGGCTGGGAACCGAACCAGTGACCTTTTGTTTACAGGATGACAGCCAACCAACTGAGTCACATCTGTCAGGGTGGGCCCACAGTACTTTTTTACCCCACACCCTAAAGCCAGCCCAGGACGATACGACTGGAGAAAGGAAGAAATGGAGACGAGTTTCATGCAACAGGTGAAGCAAGGCCCTACCTGCTCTCTTTGTGGGCGCCACCCCAGGGGCGGTCTCACTCCACACCGGAGGGTCCAGGTCGTGCAGCTCCTCTATCATTTTATCTTCGTACTGCTTTGAGTCTACAGAGAAACAGCACGCAAGCAGGACAGGGACACATGCCTCCGGGCTCTTCAATACTCTTGTCTGTCTTCTATTTGTTCCCTCCCCATGTTTCTCCTTCCTCTCCTTGCTCTTTTAATCACTCACCAGCTTGCCTCTGAAGGTAGGCCAGGTACTCCTCAGGCTGCAGGGCAGGGTGACAGAGAATGGCCTGCGGAGCAGCGCTGGGTGGGGGCCGGAGGAGAGGGTGGGGGCAGAGCCGAGGAGTCCGAACGGTCAGCACATAGGAGCAGGATAAGGGCTCGTCCACACGGTCAATGTAGTCCCCAGAAATGCCAGCACCCTCATCACAGAGGAACTGCCCAGGCAGAGAAGGCAAATGAACAGTAGTTACCACCAATAATTACATTTAGTTCTCAGGGATTAGTACCCAGAGTTGCTACAATATATTACCTCAAATGTCCAGTTTTCAACAAAAAGTTATGAGCTGCGCAAAGAAAGAGGTAAGCGGGACCCTTACATGGGAAACAAGCAGGCAGCAGGGAATGCCCGTGCAAGGGCACAGATGTCGGATCTCACAGAAGAACACTTTAAGGTAATCCTTGTAGAAAATGTTCAGAGAACTAAGAATTTAAATCATACAATGAATGTTCTCTGACCACAGTGAAATATTAGGAATCAGTGATATAGCCCTGATCAGTGTGGCCCAGTGGGTTGTGCATTGTCCTGCAAGGCTAAAGGTCATCGGTTTGGTTTTGGGTCAGGGCACTTGCCTGGGTTGCGAGTTCAGTCTCCTGACAGGGTGCGTACAAGAGGCAAACAATGGATGTTTCTCTCCCTCTCTTTCTCCTGCCCTTCCCCTCTCTCTAAAAATAAATCATCTTTTTAAAAAAAGTATCTAATTTTAAAAAAAGAAAAGAAACTAAAAACAATAAGCAAACTAAACCCAAAGCAAGCAGAGGGGAGGAAATAATAGAGATCAGAACAGAAATAAATCAAATAGAAAATAGAGAAACAATAGAAAAAAATCAATAAAACTAAAAGTTGATAGTTTATTTTATTTAAAGATTTTATTTATTTATTTTTAGAACAGGGGAAGGAAGGGAGAGAGGGAGAGAAACATCAATGTGTGGTTGCCTCTCGCACGCCCCCACTGGGGACCTGGCCTGCAACCCAGGCATGTGCCCTGACTGGGAATCAAACCAGCAACCCTTTGGTTTGCAGGCTACCACTCAATCCACTGAGCCACACCAGCCAGGGCTAAAAGTTGATATTTTGAAAGATCCACAAAAGTGACAAAACTTTAGCTAGACTTACCAAGAAAAAAAGAGAAGACTCGAATTAGTACAGTTGTGAATGAAAGGGAAAATTACTCCCAATCTTACAGAAATAAAGAGGATTGTAAAGGAACACTATGAATGCCTATACAAAGAAAAATTAGATAACTTATACAAAATGGACAAATTTCTAGGAAGACACAAACTATCAAAACTGACTCAAGAAAAAGCAAGCAAAATATAACCAGAGACATTGAAATTAAGAACAATCTGACAATAACAAAGGGGGAGGGTGGAAGCAAGGGAGGGAGGTGGGTTTGGCAAAAAAAAAAAAAAAAGAAGAAGAAGAAGAAAAAGACAATGTGAATAGACCTATAACAAGTAAAGAGATTGAATTAGTAATCAAAAAACTATCTACATAGAAAAGCCTGGGCCAGATGGGTCTACTGGTAAAGTCTACCAAATATTTAAAAAGTAATAAATAGCAATGCTTCTCAAAATCTTCCAAAACAAAGAGCAGGGAACACTTCCAAACTCATTTTATAAGGCTAGTGTAATGCTGATACCAAATCCAGACAAAGATATCACAAGAAAAGGAAGCCACGGGCTAAAATCTCTTATAAATATAGACTCTCCAAATCCTCAAATAACACCAGTTAACTGAATTCAGCAACACGTAAAAAGGGTTACATACCATGACCAAGTCATATTTACTCCAGATGTACAGAGTTAGGATAACATTAAAAAATACCAATTAATGTGATTAAAACACCCTATCAATAGAATAGAGGACAAAAACCACATGATCATTTCATTGGACACAGAAAAAGCATTTGACAAAATCCAACACCTCTTCATGATCAAAACAACAAACTAGGAATAGAGGGGAACCTCATTAACCTGATTAAAGGCATATACAGAAAATCCACGGCTAACATCATACTTCGCGGTGAACAACTGCACAGCACCAGCCCCCCCCTCCCCAGGAGGAAGATAAGGATGTCTGCTCCTGCCGCTTGTATTCAGCGCTGTGCTGGAGGTTATGGCCAGGGCAACTAGACAATAAAATGAAATGCAAGGCAACTAGATTGGGAAAAGTAAGGCTATCTTTATTTACAGATGACCTGATCTTATATACAGGAAATCCTAAGGAATCCACTATAAAAAAAACTATTAGAACTAATAATAAATGAGTTCCTTAAGGTTGCAGGATACAGGAATCAATTGTATTTCTACATATCTGCAATGAACAATCCAAAAATAAAATTAAGAAAATAATTCCATTTGTAATAGCATCAAAAAGAATAAAATAATTTGGAATAAATGTAGCAAAATTAAGTATAAAACTTAAGTTCTGAAAACTACAAAATACTCCTGAAAGAAATTAAGGACTTAAATAAATGGAAAGACATCCAAGTTCATAAATCACAAGGCTTAATATTGTTAAGATGGCAATACTCCCCAAACTGATCTTCAGATTCAACACACTCTCCATCAAAATTCCAGTTGCCTTGTTTGCAGAAGTTAACAAACTGATTATAAAATTCATATGAAAATTCAAGAGACTCCAAACAGCCAAAACAATCTTGAAAAAGGAGAACAGCCCTGGCTGCTGTGGCTCAGTGGATTGAGTGCCAGACTGTGAACCAAAGGGTCGCTGGTTCTACTTAGTCTAGGGGCATGCGAGAGGCAACCACACATTGATGTTTCTCTCCCTCTCTTTCTCCCTCCTTCCCTTCTCTAAAAATAAATAAAATATTGGAAAAAAAAAGAAAAGAAAAAGGAGAACAAAATTGGAAACTCACACTTTCAGATTTCAAACTTGCTACAAAGCTACAATAATCAGGATAGAATGGTACTGACATAAATATAGATATAAAGACCAATAAATCAGAGTTGAAAGTCCAGAAATTAACCTTCACTTTTATCGTCATTTGATTTGCAACAACATTACCAAGATAATTCAATGAGAATAGTCTGTTTTCAACAACAATGCTAGACCAACTTGATACCTACATTCAAAAGAATGAGGTTGGACTCTTACCTGATACAGTATACAAAAATTAACTCCAAATGGATCAAAGACTTAAATGTAAAATTACGAAACTCTTAGACAGAAACATAGGTATAAGTTTTCAAGGCCTCAGATGAGGCAATGGTTTAATTGGATATGATATCAAAAGTATGAATAACAAAATAAAAATAGATAAATTGGAATTAATCAAAATTAAAAGCTTTTGTGCTGCAAAGAACATCATCAAGAATGTAAAATGACAACCCAGAGTATGGGAGGAAATATTTGCAAATCACATATCTGATAAGGGACTTGTATCCAGAATATAAAGAAATTTTATATCTTGATAATAAAAAGGCAAATAATAAAATTTTAAAACAGGCAACAGACCTGAATAGACACTTCTCCAAAGATAAATTGCTAATAAGCACATAAAAAGATGCTCCACACCATTAGGCATCAGAGAAACACAAATCAAAACCACAATGAGATGCCTCTTCACATTCACTAGGAAGACTATAGTCAAAAAGTAAAAACAAGTGTTAATGAAGATATGGGGAAATTAAAACCCTAATGCACTACTGGTGCAATTGTAAGATGGTGCTACTGCTTTGGGAAATCAGTATGGGAAAAAAGTATGGCAGTTCCTCAAAAAGTTAAACATAGAATTACCATATGATCTAGCAATTCAATTCCCTGGCATATACCAAGAGAAATGCAAACATATGTCCATACAAAAACTTGTTCACAAATGTTAAAGGAAGCATTGTTAATAATAGCCAAAAAGTACAAACAACCCAAATGTTCAGCAACTAAGGAATGGGTAAATAGAACATGGAATATTATGTATTTGGCAAAAAAAAGTGTAATGAAGTAGTGGCACATGCTACACATGAATGATCTTTGAAAACATGGTAAGTGGAAGAAGCCAGACATAAAAGGTCACACATTGAATGATTCCGTTTATGTGAAATGTTTAGAACAAGCAAATCTACAGAGACAGAAAGATAAGAGGTCGTCCAGAGTGGAGGGTGAGTGTCCAGCGGGTGTGGAGTGGAGAGTGACTGCTACAGGGCAGGGGATTTCTTTTAGGGTGATGACAATGTTCTAACACTGATTGTGGTGGTGGTTTGTAATTCACTCTGTAAATATACTAAAAAATCACTGAATTGTATGCAGAATTGTACGGTATATAACTTATATCTTGATAAAACTGTTATTTAAAAAATAAATAAAAGAGCCCTGGCTGGTGCAGCTCAGTGCATTGAGTGCTGGCCTGCGAACCAAAGGGTCACCGGTTTGATTCCCAGTCAGGGCACATGCCTGGGTTGTGGGCTGGGTCGGTCCCCAATGCGGGGTGCATGAGAGGCAACCACACACTGATGTTTCTCTCCCACTCTTTCTCCCTCCCCCTCTCTAAACATAAATACATAAAACCTTTTTAAAAAAGAAATCGTAATTAGACATAAACCCAAATACAAATATAACAAATGGTTAAATTTAAAAAAATACAACTATATGCTGTTTAGAGAACACATTTAAAACATAGGAACGTAGAAAGGATAAAAGTTAAAGTATCAAAAAATATAGTAAACAAATAGTGAAAGCTGTTATAGCTACATTATTATCATACAGGAGTCTTTGAGTAAATAAGTTACTAAGATAAAGAAGGTCAGTTCATAATGTGCATAAGTTAAATTTATGAGGAAGATAATTGAAATGGCATATAATTCTTTAACTTCCTCATTGTCTGTATTTCCTTGGTAGAACAGGAATTTTTGCCATTTTTTCCACACATACAAATCTCAACAAATTTAAAAGGACTCAAAATAAATGATACAACCATAAAAATTCTATATAAGTTATATTAGATAATCAGGCAACTTGTAAGTATTGAATATATGATGACAATAAGGAATTACTGTTAATTTTTTTTTTAGATTTTATTTATTTATTTTCAGAGAGGGAAGGGAGGGAGAAAGAGAGAGAGAGAGAGAGAGAGAGAGAAACATCAATGTGCGGTTGCTGGGGGTCATGGCCTGCAACCCAGGCATGTACCCTGACTGG